TGACTAATGGTTTATAACAAAGCAAGAAGCACTGGAGAATCTCAGCAATCTGGCAGTATGTGTGGAAAGAGAATCACAGTTAACATTTCGAGTTCAATATGATCTTTGGAACTGAAGAGAGCTGGAAAAGTGACGGGTTTTGTACTGTAGAAGAAGGTGCCAAGGAGCAAGTGGAACAGAAGGAAAGATCAGGAGAAGGTTAGAATGCAAGATAAACTAGAGATCACAAGTATCACAGATCAAAAGACAAAGGGAATTATAATGGTTGTAGAGAATAGAGTTCCACTGTAGGTGTTAATGGCAGATTATAGATCCTCCCTTTTCCAGCCCGCCGTGTCTGGTTTTCTTGGATATGCTGTCAGCAGGGTGGACCTGTTCTGAAGTCAACCATATTGGACTCAACATTAATTCTGTTTTCTTCTGTACAGATTCTGCCAGACCTGCCAGCCTTTTCTGTTTTAACTTCAGTTTCCATTACTTTGCTTTCGTTGACTAGTGGTTTATGGTGAATTTGTACCCTAAACTGTAAGTTAATCATATAATATGAAAATGTTTTACACATCCATGTTACAGCAAAAGCTTCTTTTTCAAATGTGGCATAATGCTGTTCCATCTAAGTAAATGATCTAGCAACATAATAGCTTGGTATTTGCTTTCCTTTTTATGAACCTGAAAGATTATTAGCTCCAATCTTGTTGAACATGCTGCTCTTATAGTCAGGAGATGCAAATCATAGTGTGTTAAGATTTTTAATAAAATCATAAATTGTTTGATTTGTCATAGGATTTTTCCTGGTTGATGTTCTAACTCAACTTTTCACCCTAGCAAGAGGATTCTAATTGATAGAAGTATTGGCATGAGGAATGTAAATGATGTCAATGGCCAGGCTTTTGTTTAAATTTTAAACCAAGCAGTTTCTGATTAGTTGAGGCGTTGACCTGACAAATGAATCAGTGAATTGCTATCATCTACTTTGATCAGTTGAATAGGTGCAAGTGCATGGACATGATCTTCTTGCCGGCAAAGAACAGGCCCTGTGCGTTCATATTTGTAGCTTCCAGTATACTCAAGCACACACACTGTGCACCTAACTGACAATTCCAAATTCATTGTCAATGTAGTTTGCGCATGTTTTGCAAGCAATGGCTGGTCAGGTATCGTTGGTACCTTATTTTTGTGAACAGTTGAAGCTATATGTTCTTTGATAAAATTGCTGACCTTTGGAACATATGGTCTACATACTTGGCATCATACTGGCATTGAAATTCGTGTACCAGATTACTTATTTTTATGTGATTAGTGGATCTATTCGCCTTGATGCAATGTCCTGTTAGTGACAAATACTACATTTTGTTACTACATAGTAGCAGCATAAAACAGCAAACCTCTCTTGTTCCTCAAATGTTTGAGATATTTTTCCCTTCCACGGTGAGCTAAGGTAGACTGGGCTCATTTCAGGACCAAAGGTGTGAATTATCCTGAAGAAAGCGATACAAAAATCTTGGGCAAAATATGTGTTGGCAATAACCTAGTGCTGACAATAAATGAGTTGTTGTCAACACTAGGTTGGAGCTTTTGCTCCCTTCCACTTCTCTCCCTTAATCATGTGTTGTTGACACCATGACAACTTCATTATACATATCATTGTACATGACGCTGATCGTAAATCCATTACTTTGCAGAGGAGTCTGCAATGTATGATTCTATGAGTATAACAATATCAGGCTGATGCTTGACTGAGGTCAGGTCCCAAATTTATCAAAAATCCCAAATGAAAGTAAAGGAAGCTGGGCATTGTTCTTTGTAGCCCAGGTTGATGCTGGATGGTCTGTCTGGTTATATCCTTATTCAAAGTTTCTGCAGCAGTTTGATACACAATAAAATAGGTTCTAGGCCATTTCAGAGGGAGATTAAGAGTCAACTACATTATACTGTAGGTCTAGACATGTAGGCTAGACAAAGTAAGGACAGTTGATTTTGTTCCCTGAAGGGCATTAGGGAATCAGATGTGTTTTCACAACAGTCTGTAGTTCGATGCTACCATTACTGAGATTAGTTTTTCATTCCAGATTTATTCATTAATTGAATCTAAATTTCATCAGATAGTGTATGTGTCTCCAGAGTATTAGCCTGGTTCCCTGAATCACTAACCCTTACATCACTGTATGCTTTCATTCTTCAAATATTGGAGACTTCTATTACATTTAAGTGGGGCAACATACCAAAATGCTGAATTCCTATGAACTCAGCCACCATGGCTGCTCTCCAGGATTGAGATGGATGCACAATGGATAGTGACATCTCCACAAACAGTGCTCAGATAGTAATGGCCTCACATCGCCAACCATTCTCCTGATTGAATAATCCTACATAGGTCAGCAACACCCGCCTGGAATCCAGTGCTGTCAGCAGTGGCTTACCCCTGAAAAGTAGACTGATCTCCTAACTCCGCCCACATATTGTAAACCAACACAGTTCATGATCATTCCATTTCATCAGTGAACCCATTACTTTGTTCTAGTTAATGCCAACTAAATCCACTGCTCCCATCAGCCAATAGCATTAATAACATCATCAATCTGTCACACTTGGAAATGTCTTCATGATTACTCCAGAACTGCGTGTGTCTGTAGCAGAGAAGGTGCAGGTCAGTATTTTTTTACTTTTCTTTGAATATGTTCCTCCTTTAATTTGTTCTGATTCGTTGTTTAACATGAGTAAAGATGTCCATTGTTATAAATGACTTAGAATAGATAGGAAGACATTGTTTCCACTATCTGAAGAGTGAATAACCATGGAGGATACAGAGGTAAGATGATTGTCAAAATGTCCAGAGATGAGATTAGGATGACAGAACCAATGTAAAGTCAAATGTTTAGCCATTTCAAGGCTCTGTTATGCAACAATCTCTGTTAAAGTGTAAGGTTGAACCAACATCTGCTCCATTTTTCCAGGCAGATCTAGCAATGAATGTTAACCAGGTATGTGCCATAATTGTAGAGGTTCATGTATACTTATTAGGGAGGGTTGATGGGGTCTGTACCAAGGGAAGCCATGATGGTGGGAGTGTGAATCTTACTGATAACAGTGATGTGAAGGTTGAAGGTGAGGAATTTGATTCAGCAGAATGGTATAGCTGCAGACATGCTCTGGTGAATCGAAACTAAATAATTGTATCATCTGTTTTGTGGATTCCAAAACATAACGCAACACATGTGTTGCCATGGGAGTACTTTCATGCTCTCATTTCACAGTTATGTGATAGAAACTGAATTTCTAAAGAAAAAGCATTAAAGGAATTTCTATACTTTCTTTGCACTCCCAGGAATGTTTGAAGTGCTGAATAGTAATATAATGAGACTCACTCCTAAAAATATCCTTCTTGATTAAAAGCACTGGACACACCCTTTATTCAACTGAGTGTGTGCAGGACTAAACCATGTTTGACACTTGTACTGTCTTGTACATTGCTTGTTACGTTAATCTTTCATTCAATTATCAAATCAGAGTAACACAGCACAAAACGAGGCTATTTGACCTATTGTGCCTATGCTTTGAGCGAGTTATCCAATTAGTCCCATTACACCTGCCCTTCCTCAATGGCCGTACAACTTTTCTACTTCAAGCATTTACCCAATTCCCTCTTTAAAGTTACTACTGGATCTACTTCCACCACCCGTTAAAAGCAGTGAATTCCAGATCTCAACAATTTGCCGTACGAATTATGTATTGCTCAAATTGCTTGAGGTTCTTTTGCTTCTCACCCAAACATAGAAACATTCACAGCATAAGAGGAGGCCATTTAGCCTGTTGTGTGCATGCTGGTTTTAAAAGAAAACTATCCAGTTTAATCCGACCTCCCAGCTCCTGGAATATGACATTGTCAGTATCTGCAGCTTCTACTTGTCGCTAGACATTTTCTAAATGGTGATAAAGGGGTTTCTACCTTCATTACTCTTTCCAGCAGTGAGTTCCAGATCCTCTCCACCATTTACGAGAAACCATACTCCTCAACTCTGCTCTAATTATTCCCTCAATTACTTTAAAATCTATGTCCCTGATTATTGACTTTTCTGCTAATGGAAATTGGTTTTTCAAGTACAGTCCATTGAATTCTGCGTTCTCTGGTAGCAGTCAGTGCTTTTACAGGAAATACTTTCTTCTTATTTACATTATCAGAGCCCTGTATGATTTTGAATACCTCTTTTCATATCTCCCTTTAACCATTTCTGCTCCACTGAAAGCACTTACAGCTTCTGTAGAGTTCCACATGATTGAAGTCCTTGATCTTTGGCGTCTCTCTTCTACACCTTCTGTAAAGCTTTGATATCCTTCCTAAAAAGCGTGGTGCACACAATATTTCAGCTGAGGCCTAACTGGTGTTTCATACATGTTTAATATGGCGTCCTTGCTTTTGTACTCCATTTCTTTCTTAAACAAAAGCAAAAGATACATATTATTGAAGCTTTTTGTTTTACATATCAGGACAGAATTGCAAGAGGACTAAATCTCAAAGGGAACAACAATTTATGATGCATGAGAAGACAGTGCCAATTGGTGGTCAGTTGACTGTGAAAGTATAACCATTGTCAGAGAATGCATTAAGGAATAGTCCCAGGTATCATATGAGCAAATACGGCCATATTCTCTGGAGTTTAGAATAATGAAAGTTGATTTTAATCAAAGCATTCAGGATTATAAGGGACTTGACAGCATAGATACTCAGAGGTTGTTTCCCAAATCTAGAATCTAGAAATGGGGAATCTAGAACAATTGTACACAATTTCAGGATAAGAGGTTAACCTAAACATTTAGGAGAGAGGAGAAGGAGAAATGTCTTTATGCAGAGTTGTGAATCTTTGGAGATTGAGGGATGTTGGGAGAGGGTGGGAAAGTGGAGCTGAAATCCAAGCTCAGCTATGATTGTACTGAATGGGCCATTTGGTCCTATTTCTTAAGGTCTTGTGCTCTTGCAAGAGACATAAATAGAATTTGAAAAATTGTATTTAATTAGCTTTATTGAATTAGTTTTATTGTCACATGTATTCAAATGAGTACAATGAAAAGTTTATAAGTCACTACTTAGTGCCATTTTAAGCTTCTTCAGTTACTGATTTGTTACAGTATACCAATGTCACCAATACACGGTGCCATCTTAGGTACACAGTACCTAGATACAATCCTTAATTACAGAATAATGAAGAAAAAAATTACATTACAGCTATATGCAGTATAACCATAGGTCAGAAAAACAACAAAGTTAAAAAGACAAACATCACAGTCTTTCTCCAAGTGCTCTCTTCAGCAGAGCAGTGCAGGGGTCCATGTGGTCTGACTGCTGGCTACTGTCACACTCTGTACCGGGCTGCAGCCCCCTTGCTCCACACTGTCTCAGTAGGTATAAAAAAAGAAAGAAATCTGTTAAAGTAAACATGGGTCCAATCGAGACAGCCATGAGTGTAATTATATTGAACAATAATGAAATGGCAGAGACATTCATTAAGTGTCTTTATAGAAGAAGACACAAACGCTAGAAATATTGGGAAGCCAATAATCTAGTGAGAATGACAAACTTAAAGAGATCAGTTTTAGTTAAGAGATATTACTGGAGAAATTGAAGGCTCTAAATGATGATGAATCCACTGTGTTTGATGGCTTGCATCCTAGGGATTTGTAGGAGGTGGCTGTAGTGATTTAGATAATTCCTTAAATTCTGGAACAGTTCCAAAGAATTAAAAAGGTAATGAACATAACCTTACAATTTAAGAGGAAGAGAGAGAATACGATAGGGTATAGGCCAGTTAACCAGATGTCAATAGTAGTCAAAATGCTCAGATCAGTTTTTAGGGCCATGGTTATGGGTCACTTAAATTGTGATTTCTGAAAGGGAAATTGTGTTTGATAAATCTGGTATGTTTTTTGAGATCGTAACCAAAAAAAAAAACTGGATAAAAAAAAGAGGTCAGCAGATGTCAGGTGTACTTAAACTTTCAAAGAGGTCCTCATACAGATATAGGAGTTGTCAGGATTGGGGTAATATATTAGCATGGATTGTGTATTGGTTATTTGATAGAAAACAGAATAGGAATAAACAGGAGATTTTCAGGTTGACTGGTTGTAAAGGGAGAGGCTTTGGAATGATTAGTCATTAAGTTTCAGCTATGGGGAATCTCTGGCTGGAATTTTACACCACCGTCCCAATGTACCACCACCACCACCTAGGAGTGGAGTGAATGTACAATTGGAATGGCAGGGACGCAGCACCCATTACCTGCTCAAGTTGACTGGTATTTTACCAGTGGCAGGATAGGTATTGGATGTCGTACCCACTCCTTTGGCTAATCAGGCTCTTGAATGGCCAATTAATAGTCACCCAAGTCGCTCTTCCCACTGCTACTGGTATTTTACCAGTCATGGGGCGTGCTATGCCATGTGACAAAGCCACTAGGGACCCTGGTGTCTTTTTGCAGGTTGAGGGATGTGTCTCTCCTGATAGGACACGGGGTGCCCTATGTGGAGGCATCAAGAAAAGTTTAAAATAAAACAACATTTTATTGGACTGCTCAAAGATCGAGTAATGTTAGCATTGACAGCATCTAGGTATCCATATACTTTTTTTTCTATTCATTTGTGGGATGTGGGCATTGCTGGCTGGCCAGAATTTCTTGCCCTTCCCTAGTTGCCCTTGAGAAGGTGGTAGTGAGCTGCCTTCTTGAATCACAATACCCAACATGCAGATATAGCAAACAATTATGAAAGTAGGATGCGAGCTATTGTTATAAAAGGTTTGAAGCCTAAGAGTAAAGAGATCTTGTTACAATTATAGGGAACATTAGTGAGGCCACACCTACAATGAAATATTATCCTCCTTATCTGAGGAAGCAGATGCTTGTCTTAGAGGGAGTGTAACAAAGGTTCACTTGACCCATTCCTGGGATGAGGGAATTGTCCGATATGAGAAGTGAGATTGAGTCAACAATACCATATTCCCTGGAGTTTAGAAGAGTGGGAGTTAATCTAATTGAAACATAAAATTCTTAAGTGGCCATACAGGAAGATACTAAGAAAGATGTTTCATGGCTGGGAAGCTTAGCATATGGGAACCATAGTTTTAGAATAAAGGATCAACTAATTAGGAGAGATGGAAAGAAATTACTTATTCAAGGGGATGTGACTCTGGAATTCTCTAACTGAGAGGGGTGTGAAAGCTTATTTAGTGAGTGTATTCAATTGATAATTTTGCGTATTATGAGAATGAAGAATATAGTGTTAGTGGAGGTAGAGTTGAGGTGGATCAACAGTGATTTTGTTGAATTCAGAATAGACGAAGAACCAAAGGCCTATTTCAGCTCCTATTTCTTAGGTTATTGTGTAAAGGCTTGAAAACCTGATTGAATATTTTGAGGAAGTGAATGTAGTTCGGGGGGGCGGGGGGGAGGGGGGGTGGTGGGATGTCCATGGATATTACTTATATGGACTTCAAGAAGGCATATCCTCTCATTGGTACTGTGCGACTTGCGGCATTCTATGTATATCTGTTATTGCACCTCAAATATTTACTATTTATTAACAATTTAGTTAATGGGATAGAGCCACTTATTCCACATTTGCCAATGATACAAGGATGTTTAGCTGCATTACAGTATAGTAGGTGTAGTGATTGTAACAGTGTTAACCAGGTGGACCTCATGGAATGAGTTCCCTGATTAGGGCCATTAACCTGGTCCAATCAGGGACCCCTGGCTGGCATAAGAACAGGAGTGTCAGACATCCTGCTCACTCAGAGCTGGCTCATAGGGAGTTTCAAGGACTTTGCACATGTAAATAAAGGGTGGCTTGGTGATGGGATACTGGCCTGTGTGGAGTTACTTCAATAGTATAGATGGAAACATAAAATTATAGACATTAAGCAAATGGATTTCAATGTAGACAAGTGTAAAATTACCTATTTTGGATCAAAATGTTTAGAAGGAATAGACAGTCATAGAGGTCTGTAGCATTGTAAAAAGAGTCTTTGGCCCATAGAGTTCCACTGTCAAAAACAATCGTTTAACTATCCTAATCCCATTTTCCAGCACTTGATTCATAACCTTGTACAACTTGGCATTGCAATTGTACATCTAATACTACTTCAACGTTATGAAAGTTTCTGTCTCTACCACCCTTACGGGTAGTGAGTTCCAAATTCATACCACCCTCTGGGTGAGAAAAAAAAATTCCTCACATCCCCTCTAAATGTCCAGCCTGATACTTTAAATCTGTGCTTCCTGGTCATCAAGGATAGCAATTGTTTCCTGTCTACCCTATCTATGTGCCTCAATTTTATACATCTCAATCATGTCCCCACCTTTGTTCCAAAGGAAAGCGATCCCAGTCTATCCAATTTATCTTCATAACTGAAATACTCCAGCCCAGACAACATCCTGGTAAACCCTCTCCAGTGCTATCATATCCCTCCTAGAATGTGGATTCCAAAATTGCACACAATACTCTAGCTGTGGCCTACCCAATGTTTTATACTTATTAAAAAGGAAAAAAAAACTTGTTGAAAGAATAAAGAAAAACAAGCTGTTGTAGTATGTCATGCATGGGACTGCATGGAAATTGCCCTTGAACTGAGTGGCTTGCTAGGTCATTTCAGATTGCAGTTGAGTCAACTACGTAGATCTGGAGTTACATGGAGAACAGACCAGGTAAGTAAGGATGGCAGATTTCCTTCTTAAAAGGACATTAGTAAGCCAGTTAAGTTTTCAAATCAATCAATGATAGTCAACTAGCTTCACATCCAAGTTTGAACCCATGTCCCCACACCCTTGGCTTGGGTCTCTAGGATACGAGTCCAATAACATCGCCACTACACCACCATCATACTAAAATATCATGCGCCTCTTCAGAGTGTTATAAAGTGCAATTTGATACTGAGCTGCATATTAGAGAAGATGACAAAAAGGTTGGTCAAAAATAGATTTTAAGGAGAGTATTAAAAGAGGAAAATGAGATTGAGTGGCAGAGAAATTTAGGGTGGGGTTGCTGAGCTTAGAGTCTAGGTAGGTGCAGGAATCATAATGCAGGATTCTCAAGAAACCACAATTAAGGAGTGCAGCTCTCCGAGGGTTGTGAGTCTAGAGAGAGATTACAGAGATAGAGAGGCTTTAGAAATAGGAACAAGAATTTTAAAATTAATTCTTGGCTTGACCACTCGGCAATAGAGGCCAAACAGCACAGAAGTAATAGTGAACAGAAAACAGTATGAGTAAGGTTATAGCCAAAGTTGTTGGATGACCTAAATGGATAAGGGTAAAATGTGGAAGGTTGTCAGGAGTGGATTACAATAGTCAAGTCCATAGGTAACAAAGGTATTGATAAGGGTTTCAGCAGCAGATGAGGCCTGGAGTTAGGAGGGAGGTGGAAATAGGTTATCTTAGTGATGGCACAATGTTTCAAACAGTCTTGCTCAGCCTCAGAATTGCCAGAGGGAGGGATAACAATTTGGAGCAGAAACTGAAGACAAGATTTAAATCGGAGGAATTCTTCCAAATATTTAGTTGGAACAAATTTCTGATCATGCAGAATTGCTTTTGGATAAACACAGCCTTCTAATTTAGCTACGGTGGAAGATTGGAGAGGCATTAGTGATGTGGAAAGGATGTCAGTAGTGTACATGTGAAAACACTAACACCAACACTCTGTTTTTAGATGATGTCGCCAAAGGGCAACAAAGATGCAATGTAGGGGGGGATGAAGGATAGATCCTTATAGACACCAAAGGTGACACTGAGAATGAGAAAGGGAAACCATTGCAGGTGATTCTCTGACTAGGATGGTACAGGTGAGAATGAGTCAGGTGAGGTCAGTCCCAGCCAGCTGGACCACAGTAGAAAGGTGTTGGAGGAGGGTGATGTAGTCAACCATGCCAAAGGCAGCAAACATGTTCAAGAAGATAAGAAGGGAGAGTTTACTTTTGTCACAGTCACATAGGGCACTTTGTGATTTTGGTATTTTTCTAAACTATAGGAAAGCAGAAACCTGATCAAAGGAATTTGAACATGGAATTCCAGGAAGAGAGCATGGATTTGGGAGAATAAAAGTAGATTGGAAATCAGGCAGGAGTTTGCAAGGATTGTGGAGTCAAGAGTTGACTTTTTGATTTTGGAGAGGGGTGACGAATGGTGAAAAGCTAGACACAAATGGGGATCCAAAGGGACATTTATAATTGAACATTAAAATAGATTGGGGGAGACCATCTCAGATTGAGATGAGGAGAAATTTCTTCATTCAAAGAGTGTTGAGCCTGTAGTATTCTCTGTCACAGAGGCAGATGAAGCCAAAACATTGTTTGATTTCATGAAGTTGCTGGATATAGCACTTGGGCTAAAGGGATCAAAG